AGAATAAGGAGCTCGAAGAATACCACTTGAACACCATGTCTCTCGGCATGAGTGAAGTAAACCAAAAGGCTTCCAAGAATCACTGAGGTCAAAGGAGCCATCGCAGCCACCCAAAAGTATTTTGGTTTCTTCGTGCTCTGCGTAAATAATCAAATTCGTAATTAAACACAATTCATTTACGTTTTGAATATGAATAATTAGTTACATTTCAGGATTAATTCATCATCATGTTAATTTTGTCTTATATATATTCTCTGTAAGAAAAAGATTGATAAAGACGAAAGAGTATATAGATTATTGGAATTATACGCAAATATCATTGTAGCGTGTTTTTATTATAAGATCCCTAGTCGAAAGAAATGGAATATTTCTTAATTTAATTTATGAAAATGATTATAAAAGATAGAAGAGTTAATAAATGATTTAAATCTTACGAAATATCTGGTGGAGAGAAGGAAGAAAAGGAAACCACAACCAAGAACACCACTTTCCCATCTCCACTACACAACAAAAACAAACAAACAGAAACACATGTTTGTTGTTTAATACTTCAATTATGATTTTAATAATTGAAAATAACTATCGACATTGGGAATGATATTTTGTTTTTGGATGTTTATTATTAGTAAATTAAAGTTTATATAGTAGGGAATGTAACGGAAATGAGAGAGACCTGGTGAGTTTGGGAGAAAACGGAACGCATAACGGAGATAACATCAGTAGCATCTGTGAAATGTTTAAGTCCGAAAATACCCTTAAGCTGTTGCAGACTCACCACCGTCGCTGCTCCTCCCATGAATCCCACTATCGTTGCATGCGATAGAAAATCCACTAGAAACCCTAACCTGCAAAATCATTTTCATTTAATAAATTTGTTAAAGTTACTGATGAAATATTTTACTAATTTTCTTCATTAACTCATCATCATCACTAACAAAACTCAGTAGCTTCATTTAATGCCCCAAACATATTTCTAGTCAGCTTTACCATTTTTGTTTTTGGAATTATTAACAGATTCCACCTATAAAATACATGGAAATATAATATGTATACGTCACAGAAAGTATTGCACTTTTATATACTTTTATATAGTATAATATTTAACCGATTATACGTACCAGTAAAGTAAATTACAT